AATTAAATTAGGGAATGTAATTTAATTTAGTTTCGTTAATATAATTTTGTGAATTTAAATTACACATAGATTTAATTGGATTGTCTCTATCTGCAGAGGGTTGGCTGGCAGGGAGCCAGCCATGGTTCACTAACTAATTATTAATTGCTAACTAATAGCTATATCGAAAACCAGGTTTCCACCTCCCGATGTCCCATCTAATCAAATTAAATTGGTTAATGAAATTAATTAATTAAATTAATTAAATTAAATTTGGTTAATTAATCTATGCTTGTATGTAATTGGGTTATCTCTCTCTCTTATCCCTGCAGAGTGTTGGCTGGCAAGGTTTGTGAGGAGTGAGGACCAACAGAAGATTCCTACTGTCTTCCTACCGTTCAAGGGCCAGATTCTCAACCCTAGCGCCACCTTGCAGTGGACAGGTGAACTTCATTAGCAATTAGCATTTGCTACTTTGTTATGACGATCACTTAACAGCATTCACTGCTGATGTGATCAACGTGTTGTTGTTGTTGTTGTTGTTGTTGTTGTTGTTGTTGTTGTTAATGTTTTTCATATTTTTCAAAGAGAGAGACCGAGAGAGAGAGAGCGAGAGAGAGATTTAGAGAGATAAGGAGAGAAAGAGAGAGAGAGAGAGAGAGACGAGAGAGAGAAAGAGAGAGAGAGAGAATGACGAAAGAGAGAGAGAGGAGGAGAGAGAGAGAGAGAGAGAGAGAGAGAAAAGAGAGAGAGAAGAGTGAAGAGAGAGAGAGAGAGAGAGAGAGAAGCGCGAGAGAGAGTGGAGAGCGGGAGAGAGAGAAGAGAGAGTGAGAGCAGGAGAGAGCGAGAGAGAACCGAGAGGACGAGATTTAGAGAGATAAGAGAGAGAGAGAGAACGAGAGAGAGGAGAGACGAGAGAGAGAGAGAGAGAGACGAGAGAGAGCAGAGAGAGAGAGAGAGAGAGAACGAGGACCGAGAGAGAGATTTTAGAGAGATAAGGAAGAGAGAGGAGAGAGAAGAGAGAAGAGAGAGAGAGAGAGAGAGCGAGAGAAGTGAGCAGAGAGAGAGAGAGAGAGAGAGAGAGAGAGAGAGAAGAGAGAGAGAGAGAGAGGAGCGAAGAGAGGTGAGAAAAGAGAGGAGGAAAAGGAGAGAGAGAGAGAAAGAGCAGACGAGAGAGAAGAAGAAGAGAGAGAGAGAAAAGAAGAGAGAAGAAGGCCGAAGAAGAGCGGAGAGAAAGCCGGAAAAGATGAGAGAAGAAAAAGGAAGCGAGAGACAGAGAGAGGCGAGAGAGAGACGAGAGAGAGAGAGAGTAGAGAGAGAGAAGAGAGAGAGGACGAGAGAGAGAGAGGGTGAGATAGAGTGTGGTGTGCGTCGTGCCGTGCGTGCGTTGCGTGCGTGCGTGCGTGCGTGCGTCAGTGCTATCAACGCTACTTTGTTTACTAATTAGATGTTTGTTTCTTACTGATAGCTGGCTATTTAAAAAGCTAGGTTCAACTTTTGGATGTACATGTAATTAAATTAAATTAGGGAATGTTTCGTTAATATAATTTTGTGAATTTAAATTACACATAGATTTAATTGGATTGTCTCTATCCTGCAAGGGTTTGGGCTGGGGAGGGTAGGGCGCCAGCCATGTTACTAACTAATTATTAATTGCTAACTAATAGCTAATCGAAAACGCAAGGTTTCCACCTGCTCGACTTCAATAAAATTTTTTAATTCGCAGGTCCCATCTAATCAAATTAAATTAAATTTTTGATGTTGTAAGTTGTTCGTTGTTGTTGTTGCTGCTGCTGCTGCTGCTGCTGCTACTGCTGCCGCTATGCTGGCTGCTGCTCACCTGCTGGCCAGCTCTGTTTACTGCTGCTGCTTGGTGATACTGCTGCTGGGCTGGGCTGCTGCTTGTTTAGCTGGCTGCTGCTACTACTGCTACTGGCTCTGCTGCTGCTTGTTACTGGCTGCTGCTACTACTGCTACTGCTGCTGCTGCTATTGTTGTCATTATCATTGTTGCTTATGTTGTTGTTGTTGTTGTTGTTTGTTGCAGGTGGTATTGCACCATGTGAGGTAGAAACGGAGGAATACATGAACGGCACGGGTTGGGTGGATATCGCGCGACTCATGGAAGCGCCACCTGGTGGGCCGCATGCGACGCCGGAACCCCCCCCCTAGACCGGGTGGCCGCCAACCCGCACCCCCTTCCTCCAAATAAAGGTTCACACCATGAATGGAAGGGCATCGAACCAATGACACCTACCCCTTCAAAAGGTAGCCCCGAAAAAAGGGGGTTTTTTTTTTTTTTTTTTTTAGAAATACCAAGGTGGCAAAGAAAGTTTTTTTTAAAGATTAGAAAAGGGGAGGGGGGTTTGTTTTTTTAGAAAACAAGGAAAAAAATTTGGCATGGGAATTTTTCTTTTAAAAAGGAAATAGGAAAGGGAGTTTGTTAAAGACCAAAAGAAAATTGCGCCCCGCGCCCAAAGAAATTTTTTTTTTTTCCTTTTTAAAGATTAGAAGGGGAGGTTGTTTTTTAGAACAAGGGTTTTTTCCCCTCCAACGATTCTTTAGATAGGGGGAGGTGTTAGACAATGTCCAAGATTCTTTAGATAGGGGGAGGTGTTAGACAAGGTGCATGATTCTTTAGATAGGGGGAGGTGTTAGACAAGGTCCAAGATTCTTTAGATAGAGGGAGGTGTTAGACAATGTCCATGATTCTTTAGATAGAGGGAGGTGTTAGACAATGTCCAAGATTCTTTAGATAGAGGGAGGTGTTAGACAATGTCCATGATTCTTTAGATAGAGGGAGGTGTTAGACAAGATGCATGATTCTTTAGATAGAGGGAGGTGTTAGACAAGGTGCAAGATTCTTTAGATAGAGGGAGGTGTTAGACAAGATGCAAGATTCTTTAGATAGAGGGAGGTGTTAGACAAGATGCATGATTCTTTAGATAGGGGGAGGTGTTAGACAATGTCCAATTTAGATAGAGGGAGGTGTTAGACAAGGTGCATGATTATTTAGGCGGGGAAGGTAGAAAGGGGGGGGGGGGAAAGGGCAAACGAACCTTATGGTAGAGAATGAATTGGGAAAGGAATAAAAAAATCCGTCAGGTAGATTAGGTAGAGAAGGGGTTGGGGAAGGAACGATATCATCAATGTAAAGAAGCTAGAGAAGGCGACGGGAAAGATTTTCTCGAAGTTACTCTAGATTTTCATCGTCGCTTCTCGTTCGCAGTGGCTGGGCGCCGACGAGGAGCGCCCCCTGCTGGCAGGAAAGCTCGTGCGAGTCGTGCTGACGTGTGACTACGGAATCACGGTGCAGAAGTGCGTCGGATTCAGGGTGGTTGGCAAGCCAGGTGAGTGTGAAGGTGACGAGCAACCGACAGGTAGATGGAGATGGGTGGTGTCCCATCAGGATAGTGGGATGGGAAGCAACCAGCAGGACTGTCAACGAGCATTAGAAAATGTCACCAAAAAGGTGTAGCTACATGTCATAGTCTCTATCTTGCAGAAGCTACATCAGGATGCGAAATTAACAGGATTCGGGAGTCAAATACTCCCTGATTTACTGTCGGACTGATTTGACCCTGATTTGACATATGCAGGAGTCCGTGTGACTCCCTGAAAATTCTGCTATGCTAACTAGTGCACGGCCTTGCGGAATTACCATATTTTTTCAGCAACTGTCCAAAGAAAATGTGGCAGGCGTGCATCGCATGAATCTTCAAAATAAGCACATGTGTTATTATTGTTATTATTCTTTAGTTTTGAACCTCAAACTGCGGACTCCCTCATTTTGCTGCAGACTCCCTCTTTTTGAGGTCAGGGAGTCCGTTGGACTCCCGTGTTCAAAAGTTCATTTCTACCCTTCTACATGGTATGGCTTCTATCTTGCAGCATCTCCGGCCGTCGCCGAGGCTCGCTACACTCTCGCCAGCGTCGAACCCGACCGCCATGTTCTCATCATCGGTCTCATCTCCGGCCTCCTATTCGGCGCCGTCCTCATCGCTGCCGCCATCTTTGTCTTCGTCAGGTGTCGCCACTGGCGGCGGCGGCGCGACGCCGTGGATGCCCTCGTCTCGTCCAAGGTGCGTGCGCGCGCGTGGGGGACGGGACGCAGGCGCGGTGGAGGCTGGGGTAGGCAGGGAGACGTGTGACAGTGGGGAGGCCGGGGTAGGTAGGGAGATGTGTGACAGGGGGGAGGCTGGGGTAGGCAGGGAGATGTGTGACAGGGGGGAGGCTGGGGTAGGTAGGGAGATGTGTGACAGGGGGGAGGCTGGGGTAGGCAGGGAGATGTGTGACAGGGGGGAGGCTGGGGTAGGCAGGGAGACATGTGACAGGGGGGAGGCTGGGGTAGGGAGGGAGGCGTGTGACAGGGGGAGGCCGGGGTTGGCAGCGAGCCAAAACGTTGATTAATTGAGAGATTAAACGTCGTTTCAATGCCCATTGTCGTAACAATAAAGATTTTTTTTGCGAATTTCCCCATCTCTCACAGTTTCTTGCAAATTACGAAATAATTTGAAATCCGTCAAAATTAATTTGCATCATTTCCTCTCCCCAACAGTCTAATGGTTCCATCGGCTCCATAGAGACAGAGATCAGCCGGAGAGCAGCCTGGGACGGTCACACTACGCTCAACGGGGTAAGTTATGTGGGGGTGGGAGGGGGAATGGCACCTTCTACCGGCCATCGCGAAATGGTCATAAACGCAAATTCATATGAGATCCTTTCCTCTTCTTTCCCGAAAATCCTTTCTTCTGAGCGTTCTATCGGATTTTCATACATAGTGTATTGGTCTCACTCTGGGATTGGAAACTATAAGCTGAGTATTGCTGAGGTGTGTTGTTGTACTGTACTGAAGACTGTACTGTAGTACTCCTAAATACCATACATATCTACATACGTATATGTACATATACATGTACATATAAATATACACATACATGTATGATGTACATGTACATGTACATGTAAAATATACATATACATGCACATGTACATGTAAAATATACATATACATGCACATGCACATACACATACACGTATACATATACATACGCGTACACATACATGTATTATGTACATGTACATGTACATGTACATGTACGTGTAAAATATACATATACATATACATACACATACACGTATACATATACATACGCGTACACATACATGTACGTATATCAGGGGTGAATAATGAATGACAGATATGGTTGTTGAATATTCCTCGCTGAGGTCAAAAACCTGGACAAAGAAACATGGTTGCCATCTTGAATATATCTTTCCACTGCGCATGCGCGCATAACAAATGAAGGTTACATTACAGGCTGTTCCATAATAATGTGGATACATCACAATGATGATATGATATGATATGATATGATATGATTCTGATATGATATGATATGATATGATTCTGATATGATATGATATGATATGATATGATATGATATGATATGATATGATATGATAATATGATTCTGATATGATATGATATGATATGATATGATGGTATATCCACAGAGCGTTGGTTCGATGCGGATGGAGAATGAGATGAATGGAGTGAGCCAGGCGTTTTCTGACGTCATCGAAGCTGACGTAGATCCATGCAAGCATGGCGAGCAGTGCGACTGTAGCAACCCCGGTACGTACAGCAACGACCCGTTTGAAATGGCATACGAGTGCCGTGATTGGTCGTTGACAGTTTCTAACGAGTGCTGTGATTGGTCATGGACAGTTTCTAACGAGTGATGTCATTGGTTGTGGACAGTTTTTAACGAGTACTGTGATTAGTTGTGGACAGTTTCTAACAAGTGCTGTGATCGGCTGCCGACGATTTCTAACGAGTACCGTGATTGGTTGTTGACAGTTTCTAACGAGCGCCATGATTGGCCGTTTGCAGATGGCGGCAAGCTGTCGTCGCGCGGTGCCCGTAAGCGGCTCTACTTCAGCCCTGCCTACTTTGAGAAGGAATTCATGCAGAATCCGCCGCCGAAAGCCACCGAATTTCTCGCGGAACTTCGCTACATGGTGGCGCTAGCGAAGGCGCGCATTAAGCAGCGGCAGTACTACCCGACACTGCGGCCAATCAGGGAGCTAGACGAGATGGCCAATGAGATGGAGGTAAGGTTTGAGAGAGGAAGGATGAGGTGGAGGATTGATCGTGGAAGGAAGGAAGGAGGTAGATACTCACAGGTGGCGGAGGTCACTGAAGTGTAATTGGAATGAGGGATTGTAAGATATATGAAGGGAAGGGTAGATCGAGCAATCATTCACATAATTTCTGATAGGTTCATGATAATGAAGTGATGGTATGTTCTTATGTAGTGCTCAGTAGTTCTCATGTAGTTCTCATGTGTGTTCTCATGTGTGTTCTCTTGTGTGTTCTCATGTAATTCCACATGTGTGTTCTCATGTAGTTTTCATGTAATTCTTTATGTGTGTTCTCATGTAGTTTCTCATGTAGTTCCTCATGTGTGTTCTCATGTAGTTCTCATGTAATTCTTCATGTGTATTCTCATGTAGTTCCTCATGTGTGTTCCCTTGTGTGTTCTCATGTAATTCCTCATGTGTGTTCTCATGTAGTTCTCATGTAATTTTTCATGTGTGTTCTCATGTGTGCTCTCTTGTGTGTTCTCATGTAATTCCTCATGTGTGTTCTCATGTAGTTCTCATGTAATTCTTCATGTGTGTTCTCTTGTGGGTTCTCATGTAGTTCTCATGTAATTCTTCATGTGTGTTCTCTTGTGGGTTCTCATGTAGTTCTCTTGTGTGTTCTCTTGTGTGTTCTCATGTAGTTTTCATGTCATTCCTCATTCTCTCTCTATCTATCTCTTTATCTATCTCTCTATCTATCTCTCTATCTACCTCTCTATCTATCTCTCCCATCTATCTCTCTATCTATCTCTCTCTGCTCTCATAACCACTGCTAGTACGCAGTAGAGTCGTTAGCTGGTACTGATGCTGAGCGCTGGTCTCTCGCAGGGCTTCACGGGAGATGAGATGCTGGCGTCGTTAGAGGAGGAGGATGCTGAGAGCAGTGTGCGATCCGACGCCTCGACGACCGACAACGAGCGGGTGGACGCCAACAGTACAGGTTCGTACTCAGCTGCCCGCCTCCTGCCTGCCTCCCCTGCCCTCGCGTACACCCGCCCCCGCCCTGCGTACACCGCCCCCACCACTCGCCTCCTCCATCTTA